GCACCTGTGAAAGATAATTAGTGGCTGGCTGAGCAGAGGCAGTAACCTCTGCAGTAACCTCTACAGAACCCCCCCCCCCCTTAACGATCGTCTCTTGACGATCTAAGTGTCCGTTTTTCAGGGTGGTCTCGGAAAAAATCCGAGATGAGTGTGGGGTTGAGGATAAATGATCCAGGGATCCAAGATCTGTCTTCTGGTCCATAGCCTTCCCAATCCACCAGAAATTGGAAGCCCCTTCCTCTTCTTCTGGCGTCCAGGATACGGCTGACCAAGTAAGCAGGTTGCTTATCGACCAGAATGGGAGGTGGAGGTGGTTCCGGAGGAGGGCACAGTTTACTGGTGTTGACGGGTTTAATCTGTGAGACGTGAAAAGTAGGATGAATACGCATGGATGGGGGTAATTTTAGTTTTACCGCAGTAGGACTGATGATCTTGTCAATGGGGTAGGGTCCAATGAACCTGGGGGCCATCTTTCTGGGTAGGTCTTTTAGGTGGACGTCCTTGGTGGATAACCATACCCTTTGGTTGACCCTGTAGTCCGGAGCGTCCACTCTCCTTTTATCGGCGGTTCTTTTACTGGTCCCGGCAGCTCTCTCTAGAGCTTCTCTTGCCTCAGTCCAGACCTTCTTGCACCTGGCGACGTGTTCTCGGATGGAAGGGACCAGGATGTTCTTCTCCTCCTGAGGGAACAAAGGAGGTGTGTATCCCAGGGACGCCTCGAAAGGGGTAAGACCGGTGGAGGATGAAACCAGGGTGTTGTGGGCGTATTCCACCCACATCAGATGTTTGGCCCAGTCCGAGGGGTTCTTCTCTGAGACACAACGTAAGATGGACTCCAATTCTTGGTTGCACCTCTCAGACTGGCCGTTGGACTGTGGGTGGTATCCGGACGTGAGGCTGGAAGTGGCACCAATGGCCCTGCAAAACTCCTTCCATAACTGGGAGATGAACTGTGGACCCCTGTCGGAAACAATATCAGAGGGTAAACCATGTATTCTGAAGACTTCCTGGAGCAAAATTTGGGCTGTTTCGAACGCTGATGGCAATTTCTTAAGGGGAATGAAATGAGCGGCTTTGGAGAATCGGTCCACCACAGTCAGAATGACCGAGTACCCCTCAGAGGGAGGTAATCCGGTAACAAAGTCTAATGAGATATTGGCCCAAGGTCTGTCAGGAGGTGGTAGAGGTTGCAATAGACCGGCAGGTGGAAGGTTGTTGTTTTTATTTCTAGAACAGGTGGGACAAGCNACCTTTTTTATGACGGTTTGAGGGACGAACGTCTTACCAGGTGGACAGTCCCCTGGGGAGGGTTGTTGTTTCTGGGCCTTCAGGATCTCCTCCATGATTGGCCAGGTGACAGCACGAATGAAACAGGAGGGTTGAAGGATGTTGGACTCGACCTTTTTGACATCAGAGTTGGAGAACTGTCGAGAAAGAGCATCAGGTTTATTATTCTTTGAACCAGGACGATAAGTGATGATGAAATTGAAGCGAGTAAAAAACAAAGCCCATCTAGCCTGACGGGGGTTTAGTCGCTTCGCTCCCTGGAGGTAAGCCAGATTTTTATGATCAGTCCATATCACAAAAGGAGTATTGGTGCCCTCCAGCCAATGTCTCCACTCTTCTAGGGCCATCTTTATGGCCAGTAGCTCACGATTACCCACATCATAGTTTTGCTCTGGAACAGAAAAACGTTTAGAAAAGTATGCGCAGGGGTGTACCTTGTTGTCGATGGGGTCTCTTTGGGAAAGTACAGCCCCTGCTCCGGTGTCTGAGGCGTCCACTTCAACGATGAATTGTCGTCTAGGGTCAGGATGGTGAAGGATGGGTGCAGAACAAAACAGATTTTTAAGCTCACCGAACGCCTGATTAGCTTCTGGGGTCCACCTGAAATGAATCTTGCAGGATGTGAGTCTGGTTAGAGGAGTGGCGATTTGGCTGTAACCCTTTATGAACCTCCTGTAGAAATTTGCGAAACCGAGGAACCGTTGTAACTGTTTTCTATCGGAGGGGATGGGCCAATCCATTATGGCTTGGGTCTTTTGCGGGTCAGCGTGATAGTGACCCCTTCCAAAAATGAAACCAAGGAAGGAAACGGATGATGTATGGAATTCGCACTTCTCGGCCTTAACATAAAGTTGATTTTCATACAGCCTTTGTAAAACTGCTCGAACATGTTGCAAATGGGTATGGATGTCGGTAGAGTAGATAAGTATATCGTCTAAATAGACGAAAACAAATTTATTAATGAAATCCCGGAGGACGTCATTAATAAGGTTCTGGAAGACTGCGGGGGCGTTAGTGAGACCAAATGGCATGACGAGATATTCAAAATGTCCAAAAGGGGTTTTAAATGCGGTTTTCCACTCATCGCCTTCTTTGATTCTAAGTAGGTGATAGGCGTTCCTTAAATCCAGTTTTGTAAACACGGTTGCAGACAATAATTGCTCTTGAACAGAATTGATTAATGGTAGGGGGTATTTGTTCTTGACGGTGATAGCGTTGAGGCCCCTATAGTCAATACATGGACGAAGGGACTTGTCTTTCTTACTCACAAAAAAGAACCCTGCTCCTAAAGGAGATGTGGACGGACGGATGATGCCAGATCTGAGGGATTCGTCTAAATAGTCTTGCATAGTTTGTTTTTCTGAGTTGGATAAATTATATAATCTACTGGACGGAAGGGGTGCACCTGGCAACAGTTCAATAGAACAATCATAGCTGCGATGTGGTGGTAGTGAAAGTGCTTTGCTTTTATTGAAGACTGCAGATAGGTCGTGGTAAACTGTGGGTACATTGGATAAGTCCGAAGGTGTGGAGGTCACCTCCTTTATTTGATCTGAAGAATAATCAGCTGCACCTAAGC